GACGCGCCCCCCTTCCCCACGGTGGAGAAGGTGTCGTGCCGGATCCAGACGATCGAGTACTACTACTGTGACAAGCTGCGCGAGAGGACGGGGGGCTCTCCCGTGGGGAGGCCCCCCGCCGCCGAGCAGGCCGCCTTCGAGGTCACCGCCCGTGCCGCACCGAGGCTCAGGGTGTCGCCCGCGCCCCACGAGAGCGTCGAGCTGGGCCGGGAGCGCGACGCCGCGCTGGCCAGGAGCCCCCTGCAGGCGCGCGGGGCATGGGAGTCGCTGGGCTGGCGGACGCAGGGCCAGGGGCAGGGCCAGGGGTGATGCGCGAGAGGACGGGGGGCTCTCCCGTGGGGAGGCCCCCCGCCGCCGAGCAGGCCGCCTTCGAGGTCACCGCCCGTGCCGCACCGAGGCTCAGGGTGTCGCCCGCGCCCCACGAGAGCGTCGAGCTGGGCCGGGAGCGCGACGCCGCGCTGGCCAGGAGCCCCCTGCAGGCGCGCGGGGCATGGGAGTCGCTGGGCTGGCGGACGCAGGGCCAGGGGCAGGGCCAGGGGTGATGCCCGACCGCCCCCACCAGACGTCCCTCAGGTCTGGTGGGGGAGAACCCAACATGACTGGGGATGCTCGGCCGGCCGTCGCGCCGCCGGGAGATTTTGACAGGAACGTTGGAAGGGATCTACTGCCCTTCCCCACGGATCTCCTCACCTCGCCGGGGCCACCTGCACCTGGGCTCTCGCGAGGTTGCCGACAGAGAGTCGGCCGTCGGCAGCGTCGTCACGCCGACGTTCTTCGGTGCCTGGAGGGTCTCAACACGCTGTACGGCCGTCGTGATGGGGTACTTGTGCCATCTGAGCTGGGCCGCGGGCAGCAGCGGATGCTCGAGCATGTTGAATCCTCTGTCTCTCTCCTGGGGCCTCCCCCGGATGATCTTTCGCAGGCGGCAGCCCTCCAGGCGCTGCGCCTCGGCCTCCCCTACGACGCAGGGGGGGGCCCCGTGGGCTATGAAGCCTCCCGCGTGTCCCTACCAGCAGCTGGGTCTGTACCGACTCCGCTCGCTCGGCTTTGGGGATCCGGCGGGGAAAGCACTGTTGCACGCTTTGTTGAGTCGCAAGTTTTGCCCATCGACGTGGCTCGCACGAAATTAAAGGACTCGGGCCCGCGTCGGCCCTATGGCGACCCTCGCCTCCACTCCCCTGCTCTTTACGGCGAATTCGTTCAGCGATTGGTCGAAGCGGGCGTAGTTGAGCTGACGCTCGAGCGAGCTACCGAGGTGGTGGATTGCTTCTTTGTGAAGAAGGGTGGCGGGAGGCAGCGCCTGGTCGTCGACTGTCGTCGGTCTAATCAGCATTTTGAGCCTCCCGCCCCTGTCAGTTTAGTGTCTGGCGATACCCTCGCCCAGGTGCATGACGAGGAATCTTTCGGTCAGCCCGTTTTTATCGGCCAGGTCGACATAAAAGACGCTTTCTATCACATGGAGCTCCCGGCAGGGCTCCGGCAGTTCTTCGGGCTGCGAAAAGTTCGGGCCTCGTGGGTGGGCATCTCTCATCTCCGGGGCGTCCGGGTGTCCCCGGGGACTTGGGTCACCCCTCGGATGCGTGCCCTGCCCATGGGCTGGTCTTGGGCCCTGTGGTGGTGCCAGGCTATCCACGAGCGGGCGGCCGAGGAGGGAGGATCCCCTGCTGCTGCCCGGCTCGCTGACGGCTCTCCTCCGCCTCCCCTCGCCTCCTCCCCCCATGCACAGTACGTTGATAACTATGTCGTGTTTTCGACGAGCGAGGCGGTGGTCCGTGAACGCCTGGCGGGAGTGTCTCGAACCCTCGAGGCCCGCGGGCTGCCTCTGCATAAAGACTCTGTTTCGTGCGGTCGGGATGTCGTGCTGGGGTGGGAGATCGACTGCCTTCGGCGCACCTTCCGCCCGACCCCCGAGCGCGTCTGGAAGGCTCGACTCGCCATTCGGGGTCTTTTGGCGCGGGCCTCGGTCTCTGGAGGGGACCTAGAGCGCCTCCTGGGCCATCTGTGTTTCATCGGCCTGTGTAGGCGTGAGTCGCTCAGCGTTTTCAAATATTGTTACAGGTTCTGTGAGGCCGCGCGGAGATGCCCAGCCCGGGGGCCTCGGGCCCTCTGGGCCTCAGCGCGGAAGGAGCTCGACACCTGGGACCGTATCGCCCCGCTCATCTGGGTCAACACTTCAGCAGGTACCTGTCCTGACGTCGTTGTGGTGGACGCCTCGCCGTGGGGCCTTGGGGCCGTTCGGGGACGACCGCCGGTGGCTCTGGTCAAGGAGGCCTGCCGACACTCGGAGCGAGCTGGGGCTCGGGTGGCGGCCCGTGAGGGGCTGCCGCTCCGAGAGCGCGCTTTCGCCGCGGCCGCTGCGCAGTTGCACAGGGGTGAAGGGGAGGCCGACGGGCGGATCCTGATGGAGCACGCGCGGCCCCAGACTGGGCGAGACCGGCCCGAAAGCGAGTTCGACCGCCGACACCGGGTGCCGTTCGAGGACGTCCCCTTGGACCTCTTGAGGGCCCCCTGGAAGGTGTGCGGGAGGCAGAAGTGGAGACGGCCCTCGGGGTCTATGCCGGCCCTGGAAGCGGAGGCGCTGTTGTACGGGGTCCGCCACCTCCTGAGGTCCGTCGCCAACTTGGGCTCGAGGCTGCTCGTGATAGGGGACTCGATCTCCGCCTCCCTGGCCGCCGCGAAGGGGCGGTCCTCCTCCGAAGGCATGCTCTCGGTGACCCGCCGGCTGGGCGCCTTGCTGCTGGGGACCGGCAGCCTCCTGCGGTCGCGGTGGATCGCGTCGGAGCTCAACCCTGCGGACGGGCCGTCTCGCGGGCGCCCGGCGCCGAGCGATCCGCTTGCCGGCCTGCGGCGCGAGCTCGCAGCCGCCGCCGACGAGGGCCGTGAGGCTGGCGCGCGGCAGGTCCGGCAGGTCGACGACCCTCGCGGGGCGCCTGCCGCCGCTGCCCAGCTCGGGGTCGGCCTCCCCCCCGGCCTCGGCCCCCCTGGCATCTGGGGGCCCGCGGGCGGCAGCGGCGCGGGTGCGGGCTGGGCGCGCTGCCGAGCTGGTTGCTGGGCGGGCCCTGGAAGCCCGGACGGGTGTGCTTCGGAGGGCCTCGGTATCGGCGATGACTCAGGCCCAGTGCTCTCTCTACCTGACCGCCCTGCGCAGGTTCCCCAACTCCCGCGGAGTCCGCCCGATCACCGAGAAGGAGAGGGACCTCTCCACCGCGGGCGGTACGGAGATCATGTTCAGGAGAGGCGGCTCGCTGAGCGCAGGCGGGAAGCTCCTGGTGTCGGAGCGGTGGGCCAGGCCCCGCCTCGGCAGGCGGGGGGACGGGCGGATGCCCATCTGCCGCCACTGCCCGCGGGGCCATTGCCGTGCTGCCCCGGCGGGAGGCCGCCTGCCCCTGCCCCACGACGCGATAGCGCTGCTGGCGAGCAGGATGTGCCGCCAGAGGCTGCGACCCCACGCGCTGGCGGGCCTCAAGATGATGGAGCTGCTCTCGCGCCCGGGGACGCCACTCTTGCTACGGTGCCGCGCCGCGGCGGCCGGAGCCTTCAGCGGAGCCCGCGAGGGGACCCCCACATCGGTGCTGCTCCACCTGATCGGGATGCGGACCCCGCCCCAGAGCTGGGAGTTCGACCAGGCGATCGTCGTCGACCTCCACCGGCAAGCGGAGCTCGCGGACGCCCTGGTGCAGTTGGTGCTGGCGCGCAGCGCGGGACCCGGGCGGGAGCTCTCGCCCTGCGCCCTGCGGCGGGCCCTGGACGGGGCCGCCGCTGCCTGGCGCCTGGGGCCCCTCGGGCTGCCCGACGCCTGCCGCTTCGGGCACACGGGGGCGAGCGCCGCCTCCGCGACCGGCGCCCGGCGGCGGGTCGAGCTCCTGCGCCGCGAGCGGTGGCGGTCGACCCTGAGCCCCCGGCGCTACTGGCACGGGGGGCGCCTGGCCGACCTCTTGCGCCGCCTGCCGCCCGACGTGCAGCGGGCGGCCGCGGCGACCGCTCAGGTGCTCCCCGACGCGCCGCGGGGGAGGCAGGCGCCACCTTCGGGCCGCTGAGGGCGCCGACCATCGCCGTGTTCCTCGAGCTGTTCGCGGGCTCGGGCCACCTGTCCGACGCCGTGGGACGGGGGAACGTCCCCACCCTGCGCTGGGACATCGTGTACGGCCCCGCCTACGACCTGCGCGACCCCAGGAACGCCCGCCTCATTCGGGGCTGGAT